AAATTTGCCATCCTCCCACGTGCCACGATCTTGCCACGTGGGAGAGGTGCCGAAGTTGCCATGTTGCAAAATTGCCACGCGCCGATCTTCCCAGGTACCACGATCTTGCCACGTGGGAAGCGAGGGGTTGGTGGGGGGGGAAAGCATTCGTGCAGGGGGGCAGCGAGGGTTTGGGATCCGAATGCAGTTCGGGATCTGGATCGGGAGATCGGCGGAGGTGAGCGGAGGTGAGCGGAGGTTAGCGGAGGTCAGCGGAGGTGGGCGGAGGTGGGCGGAGGTGAACGGAGGTGGGAGGACGTGAAAGGAAGTCGGACGACATGGTCGAAGGTGAGCGGAGGTGGGCGGAGGTGAGTGAAGGTCGGAGGTACGAAGGGCTGAGCGCGTCGGGATCGGCATCAGGGAACGGAGGATGTCGGCGGAAGTGGAAGCGGAGGCGGGGCCGGGGGGGGGGGGGGGGGGGGGGGGGGGGAAGTGGAAGCGGGGGGCGAAGAGGGGGGGAAGTGAAAGTGTAGGCGGTCGAACGTCAGCGCCGATGCGCGGATTAGGATCCGGATCCGGATCGGGATCGGGATCGGGATCGGGATCGGGATCGGGATCGAGATCGGGATCAGGATCTGGATCGAGATCGGCATCGAGATCGGGATCAGAAAACGAAAGCAAAGGCGGGCGGAGTTCGGCCGCGATGAGCAGAGATTGGCGAACTCAGGCCGAGGTGGGCGGAGGTGAGTGGAGGTGGGCCGACGAAGGGGGAGACCGAGGAAACGGAGGTGGAAGCGGAAGCGGGCGAAAAGCGGCAGCGAGGGTTGGTGGGCGGGGGAAGCATTGGTGTGGGGGGGGCACCGAGGAGAAAGCGGCAGCGCGGGTTAGTGCGGGGGGGGCGCGGGGGTAGGTGCGGAGGTGGAAGCGGAAGCGGGATCGAGACCCAGAGCTAGGTCGAATGGAGGAGGGCGCAGCGGGACCCAGACAGGCCGAAGAAGAAGAAGAAGAAGGAGAAGAAGAAGGAGGAGAAGAAGGAGAAGAAGAAGATGAAGGTGAAGAAGAAGGAGGAGAAGAAGGAGAAGAAGAAGATGAAGGTCAAGAAGAAGGCGAAGAAGAAGGAGAAGAAGAAGAAGGAGAAGGAGAAGAAGGAGAAGGAGGAGAAGAAGAAGGAAAAGAAGAAGAAGANGAAGAGGGAGGGGGGGGGGGGATAGCCCACATCGTGACACGGCAGCATGGCTGCTCCGCGAAGATGCGGAAGAAAAATACTAATAAAAAAAAAGGCCGAGGAAAAAAAAAACACGTGCCGATCTTCTCACGTGCCACAATCTTGCCACGTGGGAAGCGAGGGGAAGCGGAGGTCGACGGAGTCGAGCGGAGGTAGGTGGACCCGCGGAGGTGGGGGGAGGTCAGCGGAGCGGATGCAAAGTTTTTTTTTTTTTGTCGGAAACAGAACGAATAATAAAAAGAAAAAAAACAAAAAAATAAAAATTAACAAAAAATTAAGAAAACGCAAAGTTTTTTTTTTTTGTCAGAAACAGAACAAATAATAAAAAGCAAAAAAAGAAAAAAAAGGAAACAAAATGACACGCATTGACACTTTCTTGCTATGCGACGGCGGACCCGAATGTCAAGTCTCAATCTCGAATGTCATCAAATCTCATGTAACCAATCTCTCTCTCTCTCTCTCTCTCTCTCTCTCTCTCTCTCTCTCTCTCTCTCTCTCTCTCTCTCCCTGAAAAAGAAGAAGAAGATAGAGTGGTGCAGGGGAGGAGAAGGTGGTGGACCAAGGTAGAAGAAGAAGATGTCTCTCTACCTCACAATGCCAGGACTGACTTGCGAAGAAGAAGAAGAAGAAAAAGAAGAAGAAGAAGAAGCAGAAGAAGAAGAAGAAAAAGAAGAATTTTAAGAAAAAGGTGGAACAAAAGAAGAAGAAGAACTTCAAGAAGAAGAAGAAGAAAAAGAAGACAAGAATCAATTAACTACTTACCAGCAGAAGCCATGTCGATGACTCGCTTCCTCTCCTCCTCAAAACCAAAAACGCCTTCTTTCTCTGTCTCTATCTCTTTGCCTGCCGACCTCCTCGTTAGTTGCCCTCCTTCTTTACCCTCTACTATGGCTTCTCTCCCTTCTCTCTCTTCTCCCGTCACTCTCGTCTCCTTCGTTCGAGCTTCCGGCTATGGCCGCTCCTCCAACTTGCCTCCTCTCTCTCTCTCTCTCTCTCTCTCTCTCTCTCTCTCTCTCTCTCTCTCTCTCTCTCTC